GCATGTAAATCAGGATGTGTTATTTTTTTATTAGTAATTCAGAACTGCGTAATGAGCGAGAAAGAACATACCAGAACATTGGGGAAAGTCCATCAGTATGTCAACCCTCTTGGTCGGGGTTACTAATAGATCCTCTAAAAATAACGACTGCGGATGCTAGTGACGTACTACTGCGCATAGCACATTCTGCGGAAAAGTATAGACGACGTCTTACTGCGCATGATATCTAAGCCACCCACATGATTCGAAAATCTATGAAGATACTGATGGATACACCATTTACAAAGTAAATATACAGGCAAAAATTAAATGGTCTTCCCAAAATACAAATGCTTTATTATTTATAAAATAAAAACGTCGCTGAAAAGCAACTAATACAAATAATAAAATTTGCGAAATACATCGCTATTACATGATAAAATGATCCTATTTATATTAAGGAGTATCACCTCCATCTTCATCACCACAAGTTAGGTTCTCAGGTTCCTCGTCATCGTCGTCATCATAAATATCATCTTCATGCTTATTACCCTTAACCAGCTTTTTTTTTACGGGTATTAATATTCCACCCGAAACAATGAAGTGTAAATGATCATTTTCATGGTTTTTCAAAAGATTGATATCCTCAAATGGAGCGTCACATACGGAGCACCACTTTTCTTTACCTGGATTTGTTAGTAAAACTAGTAAGGTTAATGAAATTACAATGTGTATGTACGTTCTTGAAAGTTAAAACGTTTACCTTGAACAATGACGTGAATATCATCATTATTTATATTTATATCCTTTAAAAATAGCTCGATCTTATTCAATACACGCTGTGCTTCATATACATCCTTTTCACCTAGCACACTTTCCACCGATACACTAGGGTCGCCAAGTTGGTTAAGCCTATTATTATCTTGACGAACTTGCACAAACCATACTTTAATACCGATGATATCGATATTCTGAAATGAATTCGGCATTTTTTCTTTGATCTTATCCTTAAGCCTAAGAACATTTTTGTTCTTATCAATAGTGATATCGAAAATATTATGAGGGAATTCTTTCACAATGCAATTAAGAGTAATTTCAGCCATTTCTTCATACACAGGCAGGCCCATCTTTTAACGAAAGTATTTATAACTCGACAAATTCAATTTTTATTAACCTGTAATGGTAAGAAAATGACTCATCTGGTTAATAAATGAGATGTTCAATGATCAACAAACGCCTAATGAAAACTCACGTCAAATAATTACTATAAATAGTCGAATTTGTCCCATTAATACTAACAAAAATCATATATTTCGGGAATAAGGGATAAATACGGAAATTTGATTTAAAGATCTAACAGAAAGACGCAAAGTTGAACTAGCTTTTGTCGTTATTATTTGATCACACAGTGATCCTTCTGTTGCAACTAGACGCGGGATCTTGAGAGATCATCCGCTCTTTCGCATTTTTTTCACGTTTGTTTGGGGAAAAAATAGAGGCACCAGCATGAATACTTGATCTTGGTCGGGTAATGATGATACAGTGGCGTAGCTAAATCACATGCCCATTCTAATTCAATGACGTATACTGCACATGTCATTTTCTGCGGATATAATTTCAGTGACGTACTACTGCGCATAGAATATTCTGCGGATCTGCATAGCAGTGTATTATTGCGGGTGACGTTTTACTGTACATGATATCTAAGCCACCCACGTGATTCGGAAAAAAAGAAATATACGATAATTCAGTCTAAGCGAGTATGCAATTTTTCCAATAATTCTCCTAGGCGGTTACCGGAGAGATGGGGGGATTCATTACTGATTGAGGTACGGGATCATCGAAATATATATCATGGTTCTAGTGACGTAACATATTTTTCGCCTGATGCTAAATAACCTAAATTGAAGATAAGGTATTTTGGTATATTATCGTCATGGAACAAACCTATTCTGACACTAGTGCTGGTGATAAAATTGAGGTATACGAATTCTTGGAGGCTTTGGGATTATTAGATAATGAAGTCTCGCCCGTTAACATGGATGATGACGACAATAACGAATCTGACATCGACGAAGAAGATAGTGATGATGATCAGGACAATTATTGGGACCCTAGGAAAAGATATACCGGATGGGATTATAAAAGACGTTTTGGTGAAGATGCTTTGAAAAAACTTTATCAAACCCGGGAAGCTCGTCATCGGAACATTGTACTCATGGAATTTACCAGACGTCTTCCAGACATATCTGATCGAGAAAAAAATAGATTATTCGACGCATTCTCTAGGTCTAATGCATTTGGGGTGAAAGAACATAATGCACTCTTGGATGCGTTAGCCGATCCCGTGAAAGGTTGGGATCTTAATAATTATTGAATGGATAATTCCCCGGCAGATTATGCATGCCTGTGACGCAATTACTTACATCTGTGGATAAAGGAGATCGGGGATCTCAGTATTCTCCTTCCTAAGCTCTACATTCTCAGCCTCAAGAGCAGTGATACGTTGTTTCAATAATTCAAGCTCGGATGACATGATCTATATAACTAATACAATGTATATAAGCATTCAAATAAAAAAATATGTGTTTTTGGGTTGAGGCTCTCAACAATGAAATTTGCCAAGAAAAAATTTTATTATTACATGAAAAATAAATACAAATGTTCGGGACGTAGCCCGCGATACATGGCGCCTATGCTATTATTTTTTTATAATTTTTTTGATTCTAGCCCTCTTACTATCAGGAGAACTATCTACACTAACTCTGTCTTTTAACAACCCTACAATGATGCCAATTACCCTTTTC